GACCACAGGGCACAGAGGGCATGTGGGGGAGTGGCATCTGCCGCCCCAGGGCGCAGTGGCCGTGAGCAGCTTCTGGAGCCGGGGTGAGGCCGAGGGCCCTCTGCTCTGCAGGAGCAGAGGCCGGGTCTACTGTGGGGGCTCTTCTTCCCCGCACCAGATTTCTAAGCAAGGTATTCTGAAGACAGGAAAGGGCCCAGAGGGAGGCCAAGGGGGTGTGTGCTCAGCTGGAAGACGGTAGACGCGGCTGTCAGATGGCACCTTCGTGGGGGTGGTCGCTGCATTCCCGGCCAGGCTGGAAGTGGGAGGTTGCTCCCCCTCCTTGGTCCCCATCAAGGCGCTAACAGGCCAAGGCTACTCCGATGGCTCATCGGAAAGAGCGAGGAAAGCACCAAGTGGAAAGTGGTGGCGAAGGGACAGTGACAGGAGGGCCTCCGCTGGGCGCCAAGAAGGGAGGGTGGGCCCTGTGCGTCCGTCTGCTCCCCGCCTCCTCCAGGCTGTTCCGTCGGGGGCACGGGGCACTGAGAGCAGGACGCACCCAGAAGCCCACCAGTCTCAGTGCAGGCTGTTGTCTTTGGCAGCCCCCAGCCCTCGCCTTGCCAATAAAACCAGTGCACGCTTGGCGCCAGGCCTGCTCTCTGGGCCCCCGCGTCTCTCCTCAGCGTCCTTCGCCACAGCCGGGAAGCAGGGTTCCTGAGAGAGGCGTCAGGAACGCCCAGTAGGGCTGCCCCCAGCCGGGACGCCCTGCCCCGGGGATCCCTGGCCTGCAGCTCAGATCCCGTGGCATCATGGCATCACCTCCCGGCTGCTGCCCAGAGCCGGTTTCCCCGGCGCGCTTTCATGAAGTCTTTTTCACCCCGGCTGCATCACCAGATCTTCGTGCTTTTGTGAAAGGAAACAGAGCCCATTAATCCTTCAGCTACTATGTGACACGGGTACCCGAGTTTTGGCATGCCTGAACCCCACGTCTGCGGGTTACGGACAGTGTAGAAGGGCACACCAGCTGCCACCAGGGGAGCTCGGGTCGGGTACACGAAACAACGCGTGTGTGCATGCAGGCCCGGGGTCCAGCCTCGGCGCTGTCGCCATTGGGAACCAGGCATCCTTCAGTATGGGGAAGGGCTGTCCCGGGCTTCGGGCTGTTCACACGTGGCCGGCCTCCACCCTCCAGGTGCCAGCAGCACCCCAGCCAGCTCTGAGAGCAATGTCTCGGGGCAAAATGACCCCCGGTGAGAGTGCTTGGTGTGAACGATCCATGCAGCTGGGAGCTTTTCAGATGGGTCTTTGTCACATTCACGAGCTGGATGGGGAGCTGGATGGGTTTTGTTATTCTTGCTCCGAACAATCAGGAAACCCAGGGCGTAGTAGGGCCCCAAGAAAACAGCTCGGCTTGGGCAGTTTCTAACTTGCACGCTGTCGTTCCCCATTGCTCCTCCCTGCCTGTCGTTCCCCATTGCTCGTCAACGCCCCGGGGGTGGGTGACGGGCCGGCTGCGGGCGTGCGGTCACCCACTCAGCGGCCTTCCGCGGGAGCTGCATGGCAGCATGCGTCTCTGCCAACGTGCCGCTGCCAGCCTGGGTGCCCTCCATGGCAATTTCTGGCTTTTAAAAATCTCTTTACTCAGCAATTTATGCCTGAGGGGGAGAAGAGAAACCACAGCTTCTTTTTTCCACATTTATATTTTTTTTCTAAGTTCAGTTCTGCTTTTATGTCTAGCCATAAACTTTGGAAGGGCAAGTTACCATTTACAGACAGATAGGACTAATCACAGGCTACTCTGTATGAAATTGGTTGTTCTAGAACTCCATTCCCAAACCCAGAATAAAATCTGGAAAGGAAATTCACTTAAATACACTGGTCCGAAATCCAGCATGAGGAGAGAGGTCATCGTATTACTTAAAGCAAAGAAAGTGACCAGTGGCGACTTCCTCCTGTGCCCTCAGAGGCCCTCGTCACCCATGGGCCACCGCGGCATCCTGACACACAGTAATCTCAGAATCAAAGTCCCCAGCTCAAGGCAGGTAGAGCAGCTCCCTGGATTTCAAACCCATCTGGATGGCAGGGCAGCAGGAGACACGTGGAAAAGCCCTGTGTGACGTGTCGGATGTGACAAAACTTCACGTGCTCAGTGTCCACCCCTGCTGTCAGCCTGGATACAGCAAGGCACAGGGAGGGAAAGGGAGGCCCTTGTAGTCAGCTGAGTTGGGGGCCTAGGGAAGGACCCAAGTCCTGGTTGGCTCCGGGGAGGCTGTGAGTGTGCAGGAAGGCTCCGGACAGTGCTGTCATGTAAGAACAGCTGGCACACAGCAGGACCTCAGGGGTTGCCTCCCCGACTCCTCCTGGGGTGGAGGGGTGGAGTTCTAGCACCCCAACTCCCCTTGGGCAGAACTCTGGCTCCTCCTGCCTCGCCCCCTCTCCCGTCCCCAGGGTCAGCACCCGTCCTTTGTTAGCAGCCCCTGAAGCTCCAAGTGCACTGGACAAAATGAGCCCTCCCCCAGCTTCAATATTAAAATTGCACTTAGCAGAAAAGGAAAAGAAACGCAACAGCTCACAGCCAACCCCATCTTTCCCCAAGCAAGCACACATGCAGAGACTCAGACATGGATGACGCCTTCAGCTTGGCGTTACTGGTGACCACAGTAAAGTGAAAGGACTTCTTCTTTGAAATGTGCAATTAGAACTGTTTCAGCGTGTGCGTTTGGTGGTTGGGTGTGGTTTTGAGATAGTTTGAAACTTAAGTCTCCTGTCTGACCCATCTGCTTTCTTGTAACCCAATTCTGATGGGCTCCAAGTTTTTTAACGGCACCCTACAGTTACTGCGATAATACCTGTCCGACAGCGAGTGTGCCCAGGCCTCTGCGGTGACCAGCGCTTGGGGCTGGTCTTTCTTCCATAGTCGGACAGTTCTTTTGCCTCTTGTGGGGGTCAGTTTAGGATAACCATCGGACCCTCAGAGAAATGATGACCTTGGCAATGGAGTGCCTGCTTGCATTTTGCTAGTAAACCCAAACTTGCAATGACTAGAAATGCTGGTTTGAGGAATCAGAAATGTGTATTCCTGCCTCTGATGTGATGAGGGCAACTTGACTTCCTGAAAGGTCGCAGTTCCAGGTTCCATAGAAAGAGTGCGTGCGTGCACTTCACAGACAAACGCCCACTGTCTGCGACATCTTCGTCACACACACCCCCCACTCCCCGCTTCCCAGCTGTCGTGTAGCTTCTGTGGTCCGCCCTCGCCCTCGAAGCATCTAACGGAGACCCACCTAGAAGGGTTCTCCTATCCAGGCCATTTGTATGGCTCCTCCAGGAGCCCGGAGATGAGCAGCTGGGACTTGAATCAGTGGAATTCTTCAAGGAATTTAGTGAGGGTGGGAACTGCTTGAAATTCGCATATGCAAACGCAGTGTTGAAGACCAGAGCTGCCAGACTTCTTACCTTCCTTACTGAGTGAGTGAAATCTACTCCTGTTTACATAGATACTTTGCTCAGAAACTTCTTTTTTAATTCTTTTTTTTATCCTGCTTAAGTACGAAGACAAACTTTTGTCTCTGTCTACTCCAAATTCTAACGTAGGAAAGCTTAAATGAACACAGGCTTCGCGTAGGCGGTAGATCTGTCTCTTTGTTCAACCAGCTCCTCAGCCAGCATTGGGGGGGGGGTGAGGGGGTGCCTGCTGTGTGCCAGGCCCGTTCTACACCCCAAAGACGCAGCAGGGAACAAGAGGGTCTGGTGTGGCCCTCAAGGGGCTTGCATTCTAGTTGGCAGGGTGGGTGGGGTAGGACAGGCCAATTAGAAAACAATAAATACACGGACGGAAGCCGGTGAGTAGTACGAATGGAGAAGAGAGTTGGGTGACCAGGGAGGTGAGCTGCAGTGCAAGGAGGTGCTGGGAGCCCTGTCCTAGGAGGGAGAGGGGCCTGTCCTATGAAGAGGTGGGATGAGAGCAACAGGCCACAGGGAGGCCAGGCTGGCGAGTGTGGGAGAGGGTGACAGGCAGTGACAGGACCTGCACTCCAGAAGGTTTCCTGGTGGCAAAGTGGAGAGTGGAGAACCCCGCTGGGTTGTGGGGGTGAAAGGGTGGGCCTACCTGTGGATGGACATGGAGACAGACTGGCCGAGACATGTGGACGGATGGGGTAGGAGACTGGCTCCATTTCTGGGCACTGCCCTAATAGGACCTGCCGCCTCTCCTCCGTGAGCGTGCATCGTGGCGTCTCCCTGGACAGCCCGGACCCACCTTAACGGCCTCTTTTGAACTGATCACCCCTTTAAAGGCCCTCTCTGCAAAATAGCCTTATTCTGAGGCCCTGGTTGAGGCCTCCACCTCCACATTCTGGGAGAGCACAGTTCTGCCAACCAGAGGCCCTTAAAGACGGAGAATGTTCTGGAAGGTATGCAGCTGGTGGCTGCACGCCCCCATCCTGCCCATGTGGGTCCCTGTCATTCTCCACTTGCACAAGGACCAATTCAGTCCATTCTCTCTGCACAAGGGCCAATTCAGAAAACCGAGGGATTAATGAAATCCTTCTTTCCTCTTTCTTCAAGAAACCACATCCTCGTTAATCAGGAGACGTGATAGCTGCGGAGGCGTTTAAGCACCCCTCGATAGGTTCCCGGTCACTGGAGGTGCGTTTCAGAGGCTGAGGTCTCCGCGGTGTGCGGACCGGCTCCCACGTGGCCGGCTGATAGCGCCGCCGGGAGCGGATGTCATCGGGGAGCGGGGGGTGGGCAGGCGGCGTACA